CCTTTGAATACGTCCATTCAACTCGTTCTGATCAATGATCGATAGGAAATCACTAAAAACTTCATTTCGCACCATGTTATTGTAGAAAAAGTTTTGAAATTCACTTCTCAAACTTGTTTTAAGTTTTTCTCAAAATAGAGTTTTTTGCTTTAACACTTTTGTATTTCCCAAATTTCTCCGCCATTTTAAACGCTAGAGACTTGCGATTGGTGTTAAAATGACTCCAATGATCGGTTCTAGAAATTAACAAAGCCAGAATCTAAGATTTGTTTGTTTAATATCTCATCAGATTCAAATCTTTTACAAGGTATAGCCTATTTTTTGCCATACAGTATGAGATGAGCTTGAATAAAAAAATTGGAAATGAAAAACAAAAACCCGACCTTGTCAAGTTGTAGCGCAACGTTTTCGGTATAATTTAAAAGTGACCCGAGCTTTCTAACATTTGAAATGACTGAGAAATTTGGGAAACGCTGACACCACCATTTTGGCCCATAATCGTCAGATAAATCGTGATTGGCTAAATATTTCGACCTGAAAATTTTTTCGTAAGTTACCAAACAGTAGATACACCTTCCCTGAAAATTTCAGCAAGATCGGATAATCCGGAGAAAAAATAGAAATTAGGGTGGGGGGGGCCTTAATATTTTATTAAACTAATTAATATAAAATGACTGTAAATTAATGAGTTTGATATACATGTATAACATTGTTAGCGGCTAACCCTCGTTATGTTTTTTCTTCTTTCTTTCTTTTCTTTGATCTGAACTATCTCAGGTCATTCTTTATTTGCACTTATATTTCTATTTTTTTTCCAAACCCTCGATATATATATATATATGAGTGAATTGCAACTTTTTGGTACAATTCATGCAAACAGATGAAAGTGAACCTATACGATTTTTGAGTAGTACATTTTGTTACACTCTATGCCAGTAGTACACAAAAAACTTTTCCCAACACTTCATCGATTATTAACGGAGATATGTCCCGTATAAATTTGCGATTTTTTCTATTTGTGGGTGGTTCCATGTGACGACAAATACACTTCGAAAGTTCAAAAATGTATACCTAGTACGCATCAGTACATGATCTTAGATAGAATGGTTGATGTAGTTGTCACGAAAATCGAAAAAATTTTTTTATCAACCCCAAACCCTGGAGGGGAGTACGATAATTTCGAAATTTTTTTTTTTATTTTTTTTTTGAGAACTATGTTATCAATTCTATCTACGGACATGTCTTGATTTTTTCTAAATACAAATTATTGAATAAAAATAGAAGCTAGAGTACATTGCAACTTTTTAGTACAATAGGCGCAAAAGATGAAAGTGAATCTGCACAACTTTTGAGTAGTGGATTTTATTAGACTCTATGTCTGTGATATACAGCAAAAATTTCCCAACACTCTATCGATTATTACGGGAGATATGACTTGCAAAAATCTACGATTTTCTCTATATGTATTATTTTCCACTGACTAAAGCTGTGTATCGGTCTATCTAAATTTTAGCAGCAATACGATTCGAAAGCAGCTAGAAAATTCTTTTTTTGTAACTGCTTCATATTCGGGGGCATATTTCCATATTTTACTCTGCCTTCATACTGGATCTTCCCATTCACTCGACTTATGATTTTATAGGAAACAGTATAGTTTGAATGGTTTACATGTATTTTCTATCGACATTGAGTGTATTTGCACACGTAACACTAAGAAAAGGAGTTATAAAAAAATTAAAAACAAAATAAAAGTAAAGCTATGTATGTTCTAATCGTCCATTAGTAAAATAAATATACACTTACATCAACTTCTATTATAAATTTCTTTATAAACTCTTTGATCGATATAGATATGGAAACTTTTGTAGAAACAGGAGCTGTACAATTCAGTGCTTTTATCTTCTGCCATTCACAAAAAGTAACAAGAATTTCTTCATCTTCTTTATCTAATTTAGTCAAATTATCTTTAAATTCATTAATTTTTATTTCGTCTTTTGCTAAATCATATAAATCAATAGGTGTGAAATCAACTATAACTTTGATACAAGCGTGTTTACGCTTCAATTGATGAAGTTTTTCATATTTGAGTTGAGGATTAAGACATGGCATGCATAAGCATGTCCCCCAACTATCATTATTCGGTTTCTTAATGTAAGATGGGATATATCGAGTGAATGTAACGTAGTCTATATCTATAGTACTTTCCAATTCAAACTGTTGGTGGAGAATATTCATATGATTAAGACGATATCGAATTTGACTACCGTCAATTTGTTTGTGTTTGTCAGGACATAACTTTGTGATATCATCTCGACATAAAAATGTTTCAATTTCAGTTTGAATCGATGATTGAGAAGTCTTTTTTGGTAAAATTTATTTTGATAGATTAATACCGAATTTACTTCTGATTTGTGCTGATGTACCTCGTGGTAGATTTTCGATTTTATCTTTAAGACGTAACACTGTACGTTGTTTAGCATTTGGACTAACATTATCAAAGAAAAATTTTGATGGTGAATCAGGTGGTGGTGTTGGAGTTCGAGATGAACGAAGCTGTTTAATTTCTTTTGTCAATATTCGTACTGTTTCTCGCAATTTAATATTATCTGCCCGTAAGCTTGATATATGTAATCTTCGACGCCGTTGCCCTTCTTTTTTTCTTAAATCTTTTGTCCTGGAAGTAGATACACTCGGTATTGATATGGTTGATTGTTGTTGTTCTTCTTTCTTGTTTCTACGCCATTTTGCTTGATATGATGCTTTTTTCCTTCTACATTCCTCGTCAAATTTTTTCGATAAACTCCTTTTTAATTTGATTCTTTCACGATACGTTTCATTACGAAACTTATGATTATCTTTCATCTTAAAAACGATAAAAAAAATCAGGTGAAAACAATGCATTTACGTCTGCAAAAAAGTACAACGCTTAAAAAGAATACCCAAACTTTACCACGCGTTCCAAGATTTTTCTTTAAATTTTTTCCAACAAAAAGCGTCACGTGAAGTCTATAATGTCCTACACTACACTCTGAAAGCTGGATTGCATTTCTGAATGACTTTTATAATCCAAGGCACCGTTTGATTTTCGTAAATGTTCTAACTATATTGGCGTCACTCTTTCGAAAGACTTAAGCCATATTTCTTAAATCAGCATGGAGAGCAGGAAATCAGGAAAATGCACCAACGAATTGAAGTTTCCTTTTCCTACATTACTCATTTAAATTGCGCTCTGAAATAATATTTTTAAATGAAACATGCTGACTTTATTCAAGAAAAAAATTCTGATTAGACACTTCTAAACGCAGTCACTACTTTTTTCAGTATAATGTAAATTTCTCCCGAACAGAAGATGATCCAGAGTTGAAACTTCTATCACTGATACATATTACTACTTTACATATTGAGTAAAAATTTGAGCTTAATCGCACGAATCGTTGAGGACTTACTGGACCATGAAATTGTCTTTCTACACGCTTTTTTCAGTATAATGTAAATTTCTCCCGAACAGAAGATGATCCAGAGTTGAAACTTCTATCACTGATACATATTACTACTTTACATATTGAGTAAAATTTTTAGCTCAATCGCACGAATCGTTGAGGAGTTACTGGACCGTGAAATTGTCTTCCTACACACTTTTCTAAAAATTGTCTTTCTACATTTCTCAGTATAATGTAAATTTCTCCTGAATGGAAGATGACTGAGGACTGAAATTTTTATCAATGATAGACCTTACTACTTTACACATTGAGTAAAAATTTTAGCTCAATTGCACGAATCGTTGAGGAGTTATATAGCCTCCAATTTTCAAATTGTCTTTCTACAAAGTGAGTGTAATGACTTTTTTTCAGAAAGTCCTCTCATTTTTATCGATAAACAAAGTTGACAACGCAGAGTTTTTTCTTACCATTTTGTTACTCAAAGAGTTGTCTTTCCTTTCGTATAATTTCTGCGTCGTCAGCTTTATCACTCATCGAACTGTAATCACGTTTGTGTCTTTCTACACAAAAATTCAAAGTGTCTGTCAAACAATGTGAACGTTGGACGAACAAGAGAATGAAGTATAAAATTTAAATCCATAATATACTTCGATAGAGCATTGAACGCTGTACAAAATAGCCTATTGTAATATTTTTTCTCTTTCTGTTCTGTAGTTCAAAAATTCGTTTTTCTTCTCACGTGTGAGCAAAAACTAACATTTTGTTGTCATGTTTCCCTTATAACTCAGCGACTGTACGAGCTACAGAGCTGAAATTTTGTGTGCTAGTGGGACATGCTAGGGTCAATAACTTATGAAAAAATTATCTAAATCGGTTGAGAGGAAAAAAAGTTATTAGAGAAATACAGCTAAAACGCAAATGTACCAAAAAGTTGCAATTCACTCATATATATATATATAGATGGTTTTAGTAAGATGTGTGTGCGCGTATGCGTGATGTAGTGTTTGTTTTCTATTTTTGAAATAAACAAAAGGAAATCGAACATATCGCTGTCTTTCTCCCTACTCGCTAATATTTGGTGCCGTGACCGAGTATTTTTATTATTTTTAACAATAATAAAAATCTTACCAGAGGACATCGCTAATTAGGATTGACCTGAATATAAAAAAAAAGAAGATCAGAGGGAATTCTTTACGAATTACCTGTGAGTAGCAACATATAAAAATAAGAAGAAATTTATTTCAAATTTCTTGCTATACGGGAGGACAAGGAGTACATTAAATTAATCATTAACAACGGCGTACAACTTACGAAGTCTCGATAAGGGTCCTGAATTAGAAGGTGACTTATTAACGAGAACATCGGAACGAATTGTAAGAAAGATAACTTTGGAAGCATTAACTAATATTACTGGACATTCACGTCGATCTATACAAACAATGCCTAATAGCACACAAGATTCAGCAATGATGATATGTTACAGAGAAAGTCTATCGAATTTAGAAAAATTTCATGGGGGTGAAGATCAAAAAATTTTAAATTTCATCAACAACATCGAACGAATTGGGAAAATGATCAGTGCACCGGATGAAATTTTACTCTGTATGTGTACCGCAAAATTAGATGGTGAAGCAAAACGTTGGTATGAAGATAATATGTCATTAACTCATTGGGAAAATCTAAAATCGTCATTATTAAAAAGATTTACAACATCAGATTCATCATCGAAAATATTTGAACAATTAAAGGATCGTAAACAGAAGTTAGATGAAACGATTACATCATATTATGATGCTCTCATTAAATTATGCCGTGAATACGATTCGACTATGTCACAGAAAATGATGATATCATGGTTACAAAATGGAATTAAAGATTCGTTAAAAACTCATATTAAACGCCAGATGAAATTATTACCAGAATCAGCACAACCTTATTTACCATTTATTACGAACACAATATCAACAACATCACAGAAAATTCAAAGCAACTCCGACAGGACAACAACACCTCAATATTCACCACCACGACAGGTAACATATGAACACACCAAACAAAATTCACCATCATCAACAATGTATAATTCAACACGATCGAAATCAGATGGCCGTGATTTTTATTCACAACAACGATCCAATTCTCGACAGCAAGAATCACATAATACAGTAACTTATAATACACGACGAGAACAACAACCAAATAGACAATCATCTCATTCATCTACACAACCAGATTCGAAGCAACGTCCATGTTCTATATGCCAACGTATTAATCATCGAACCAATGCTTGTTATTACAAAAAATCACACGGATGTTATAAATGCGGACAACCCGATCATCAGATACGTGATTGTCTTCAGGTTTTCTACTAGCTGAAACCCGCGATGGTGGTCATTCCAGTAGCAAACAAAATCCATCCAGAATAAATTATACATCATCAACATTATCAACACCTATTTATATAAATGTTCAAGTAAATAACAAACAACATGAAGCAATCATCGATACTGGATCTGCAGTCACCATTATTAATCATCAATTATTAAAAAAGATCTACCACAAGAACTTTATTTACAAAAACAAATTACACAAATCAGCAAATTGTTCATCAATTAATATTATCGGTGAAATTGAACTTGAAATTAAAATACAAGGACACAAAACATATATATTAGCAGATGTTGCGACTAATCTTATTACTGATTTATTACTTGGAAACGATTGGATCTATCCAAACAATGTTATTATCGATTCATCACAACAACACATTTTTCTTATGAACGAGAACAGGAAAGTTATAGTATCAACACCATTTGTTAAACCAAAGCAACTTCGATTACCTGTTCTATTAACAGACGAAATTACCCTTCCACCAAAGTCTGAAAAATGCATTAACGTTAAAATATTATCATCGATGAGCAAAACATCCGAAGCATTATTTGAACCAACTACACACTTACAGTCGAAAGCGATTTTCTTAATAAATGCATTAATTAAAGTAGAAGAAAACAGAAGTCGAATTATGATTATTAATGCAAATGATCGTCAAAAAACATTATCAAAAAATACAACATTAGGACATATTTTATATTGATCGGACGCAAACAATTACCTTATTCTACCAGAAGTATCACAAGACAATAATAAACGTTCAAGGTCTACAAAGATATTTTTTCGTAAGAGAGACGGTTATTTACGGGATTGTTCCTGCGTATTCGCAACACATAGGGAAGTCTCATCTGGGGGCTTAACCTGTCGAATGAACAACCATTATGAGGAACAACTTCAATGTTATGTATGTCAAGAACAATTTTTATCACGCAATGATCTACAACAGCATTTACGCCAGAAATGTTATCCATCAGAAATACGAACACAGATTGAACAATTAACTCGACATATTGAAGATGCAGAACAACGAGAACAATTACAACAGGTATTATGGAAACACGGAAAACTATTTGATCTACGTCAACCGTCCATCATTAAAGCTACCATCCATCATGGCATAGAAACTGGTACTCATCCACCAATTTATACTTCCCCATATCGTGTTTCATACAAAGACGAACAGATACAACGAGAAGAAATCGACAAATTACTCAAACAAGGTGTGATTGAAGAATCTACATCGCTGTGGTCATCCCCAATAGTACTGGTTCGTAAAAAAGATGGATCTGTTAGATTTTGTATTGATTTTAGGAAATTAAACAACATTACTACGAAAGATGCATTTCCTATGCCTCGAATTGATGATATTTTTGATCATTTATCACAAGCAGAATATTATACAACCATTGATTTCAAATCAGGTTATTTTCAAGTTGGACTTGATCCAAGGGGGAAATAGCGGACTCCAGGACTCCAGGACTCCAATGGACTTCAAATGGACTCCAGTCTTCTCTGGAGTTCAGCAATCCATACTATGATAAAATCTGCTACTTCTCACCTTAAACCATCGGAAATAAAGAACAGATTATGTAATAAC